AAATAAAAGTCAGTGAGAAACAGACGTTTACAATAAAATAAATAAATAAATAATAAAAACTGCGTTAACGGTTTTAAAATAATTGTCGGTGTTAATGACTTAATTAGTTAACGCAAAGTTAACGCGTTAACGTGCCCGGCCCTAAAAAAAAGAACTTAAATTATTCACCCACATTCACAATACACATTCACCAAGACTGGGAGACAACGCCGGACGAATTACTCCATGTCTGAGCTAAGGGATCAGTCTCAAGTGTCGTCTGTTTGTTTCAATTATGCTCCTTATAATCCGGTGCACCTCATGTATGAAAATAGACGCGAGAACTCAACATTATTGATATTGCGCCTTATAATCCGAAAAATAAGGTAGCATCAAATTTTCAAGTACATAGCAGTGTGTGGGGACAGGGGGTAGGTGAAAACAGACATTTTCTGAGCACTCAAGCCTTAAAAGCAGAACAATGCAGAATTACTTAAACATGCATGAATCAACCAAAACACAACTGTCGGGTTATGGCGAGGGAACACCTTTACAACATGGTTAAAAGCTCATAAAAGTCGATGTAACATAATACATTCTTTTTAGTGGTTTTGGTTATTTTTACACATACTCTCATAGAGATATTGAGAAAACTGAGCGTCTCTCTATTGTGTGAGTGAAATCCTCGCTTTTCTCCTAAAGCAATTGCCTGCAGCTGTATTCTTTTGGTGACACCCTTTAAATGTGATTATCTTCTGCGGCAAATGGAAGAGCCACGGTGAGGGACACTGTGTTTAAAGGGCCCATATTACACTATTTTCTGATCTATGTTACAATGTTTCCTCACCACAAATAGACCTGGAGTTTTGTTTTGTTTATTTACTCATGTTTAACACACAAACCCTGCATTTTTAGCATTTTGATCTGGCTGTAGACCGACTAATATTCAGGGCAACTCAAACATGCGTGAATGAAACAAAACACAACTCCAGGTATATTTTTGAAGAAGCAACAACATTATTACATGACTTGAAGCTCACAACTGACCCTTTAAACAGCAACAAAAGGGAGCGTTTACAGTGCCTCGGCTGTACACAAGGAGATTTACAAACATTACAACACCAATTACAGCCGGATTCTTCCAGCTCATTAAAAGAACTAAATGCTATGAATGATAGATGAGGCTGTGAGCATAGTGACAAATGAACTGTTGGATCTCAAAGCTTAAGGCGAGGGAAAGATGTTTACTAAATGTCCCCATGAGGTTGAACTGTCCCCTGAGACACGTCTGATATTATTTTCCTCTAATGTGTTGACACGATGCAGAAACTTTAAACTCAACTTCGAGACTAAGAATAGACTCAAGACGGATACCATGATGATGACAATAAAAACAACACTACGTTTAGACAATAGAGTGTCATTTTCAATATTAAATCGTAGTGCTTTCTTTTCTATTACCATGTGACCTTAAAGAGCCCAGATTCAACTGTTTTTGATCATGTTATAATGTTGTTTCCTCATCAAAAAACATATCTGGAGTTGTGTTTCGTTTCATTCACACATTTAACACACAAACCCTGTAAGCTGAGTTCTTCTCTCAAACAGAAAACACCTTGTGATGTCATGTGAAAATACTCCACTGTGTTTTTAAACTCCATACACCTTCACTAGAATCATTTGGATGAATTTCAAACCTGGAATTGCCCATCTCTACTGAACAAAAGGTAAAAGCTGTTAACTTGAAAACTGCATCACAAACTGAAAAAACAAAACAAAAAAACATTTAGATCTTTGGAGATGTAGACAAAATAATAATTCAGGATTACTCAAATATGTGTGAATGAAACAAAACACAACTCTAGGCATATTTTGATAAGTTAACAACATTATAACATGGCTTAAAATAATAATACAGGACCTTTAAATTTGTAATCCCTCTGTCGTCCAGGTATGTTCCAGTTCCACAGTGGTCCACAGGCGTATACTCGTCTATGTGCTCTGTTCAGCAATACAGTTTATTGCCGTGTGATCAAATAAGTTAATAAGTTATGATTAGGGATGTAACAATAATCTTAGTATCATGATATTGTATCGTCAGAGTTCTCACAATAATATCGTGGTCCAAGACAATATATCGAATTACAAATCTCTTTGCTTAAATTAAGAGTTATGGTGCAACAGTGGCTAAAAAAAAGACAGAGGGAACTACATAGACCATGATCCTTTGCTCCATTTCAGTGCAGACTACAAGAGGAAATAACAGTTCTAAGCACTTTTAAGTCTTAGTTCTTTGGATTAAGTTTAGTCAAGGCATTTTAAGAGGAAAAAGTAGCATATTAATAGTTTTGTTAGCCTCCACAAAACATCGCGAAAGTATCGTACCGAGAGATTTGGATATTGTTACATTCCTAATCATGAGCCTCCCCACCATATCGCAAGCTTTCCCACGATATCACAATAAATATCCTACCGTGAGGTTCATACCGTGACAATATCATATTGTGAGACTTGGATATCGTTTCACGCCTAGTTATGATGCTCAATTAACATTAGTTTATGTCATATGTGTCCATATGTGTTAAATGCAAATGACGTGAAGAAACGTCTCAAACTTGAGTAGCCGGACATCCACTCATACCTGATCGATGCAACCTAGCCCTCGGGAAAGCCTGAAATCTGCTGAAATCCTACAAGACACTGACATGATACCAGACGGGACAGCGGCTCTTTCTGCAGGAGACATGCCCAGTAGAGCACGAAGTGACGTAGTCTGATAATCCCTCTAAACCTGTTCTGATACAGCTCAAGATCATTCTAAAGCTATTCAGGAAAAGTGTATTTCTGTCCTGTGAATGTGACTTTTTCAGTATCGATACCTGCCCAAATTAGTATCTAGTTTCAGTATTATTGATTAGTATCTGATTTTTGATACTAAACAACCCTAGAATGTTACATGAAACGCGACATATATCCATTTTAAAAAACTGTTCTGAGAAGCAGGCGGCTGGCATAATTGAATTCTAGCCCTATAAAGGTTTGATTTCTGTTCCTGTGATGTAATAAAGTTATATAGATGAAGTATAGAAACACAAACATTGTATCTGTCAAATGCACTGTAGGTTTAAGTCAGGCTCTGTAAAATGCCGAGGAGAACATTGAGACAAAATGAACAGATCAGTCAAAGCAGAATCACATTACATGACGTGCTTGAAAATAAACATCTCACATTTGCGTTGCAGAGGCCTGAAATCCACTTTTTCATATGCCACTTTTGTCCTGACTGTGTATGTCTGCATTTTTCTCTGTTGTCCAACACAGTAGAATCCAATAAAAGGCATCCTATTTCAGAAAGTATTATTTTAAAGGGCTTATATTATGCCATTTTCTGATCTATGTTATAATGTTGTTTCCTCATCACAAACATACGTGGTTTGTTTTGTTTCATTTACACATGTTTAACACACAAATCTTGCATTTTTAAGTTGATCTTGATTCTCTCAGACTGACAACACTCCACCTTCTGATGTCCTGTTGTAATGCAGGAGGTGCTCCACTGTGTTTTTAAACTCCATACACCTTCACTGGAATCATTTGGATAATTTCAGATCTGGAATTGCCAATCTCTACTAAATAAAAGCTGTTAACTACCACTTCATGACATCACAAGGAGTATTTTGAGCGTTGGAGATGTAGACAGACTAATAATAAAGGATTACTCAAACATGTGTGAATGAAAACAAAACACAACTCTGGGTACGTTTTTGTAGCCTTATTCATCAGCCGGTTTCACTTCGTGGAAACTGTCTGACCTCGCAGCATTAGGATTCATTTGCTCAACAACAGGCGGGTACTTTTTTTATTTAACCAATCGCTGCTATTTGGTCGTGACGTAGGTAATGCACCACTAACAGGGCTAACTGGTATATTAAGCTTTTCCCAAATCCCATAGGAAGAAGGACAATAACATCTTTCCCCTTGACAAAATTCACCAAACATTCTCTTTGTTCCGGCTTTAAATCCTCGATCTCGGGAATCGTTGCCAACACAGAATGTATGGCTCTTCGCTGATTGGCTGGTGCCCGGACTCGCACTTCCAGGGTTCTTCCAAACCGTCTAGTGTATTCCAATTCCTGACCTAGTCGCTGAAGAGAAATTAAATTGATTGGAGGCACTAGGTGGAACCAGCCTGGCTACTGTTTTGATGAGGCAACAACATTCTAACCTGACTTAAAGCTCACAAGAGTCAATTTTGTGTAATATATCACAGTGGGAGCTATTCAGGATATGATTACATGGTATTTTACAGTTGTTAGATCTGATTTACTTTTAATATATTGTACTAAACATGGCATTTCGCATAGACAGCAAAGCGATCATTTATTGTGCAATGCTTCTGAAAATAAGGAAGTGGAAAATAGAAAAATATTTGCTGATTTACTTCTTTAATGAGAAGGTTTAATGCCGATACAATTTCAAAACATTTTAGTCCTCTATAATTATCATAAACATAGCATTTTATTCAAATACGCTATCTCTCCTCTGGTTAAATACAGCAGTGTTAAAGCTGTTTCATGACTATGAAAGGGAAAAAAAAATGTATATTGTATTGTGAAGGTTTCTATAGGGTGTCTTTATATACTCTATAAGCAACCATGCAACAAAATCATCTTACCAAGCCTCGTGACTTTTTTCTGTAGCTCTATATAACGTCTATATGCTGTCTAAAACCCAGGAGAATACATAATTGTTTGTATCAAGGCAAAATATGAAATCCCATTATATTTTTCTGTATTGGAATTGCTTTTATACCACCGCAATACATGTCACAGCCCGGGCTATACATCTGGGAAGTAGAGCCATGCAATCATTTATGCTCATTAGACATACAACATTGATGTATACAGAAAGTGACAGGCCGCGTAGCTCCCAGTCGTGTTTATGGTCATTGCTGCTTGGAGTCGATATTGAGCAAATCATTCTCCAAGCTCCTAACCTTCTGCTCTTGTGTCTCCACCCAGGGATGACCTGCCAAGCCCGGACGTCCTACACCGAAGACGAGGTACTGTGGGGCCACCGCTTCTTCCCGGTCATCTCTCTGGAGGAGGGCTTCTTTAAGGTGGACTACTCCCAATTCCACGCCACGTTCGAAGTCCCAACCCCTCCCTACAGCGTCAAGGAGCAAGAGGAGGCGTTGCTACTATCATCTCCGCTCATGGCTCCCTCTTTGTGCAATAGCGGGTTGATGGGGGATAAGAACACCTCCATGGACTGCCTGGAGACTCTCGAGGACAATGACAGCACGACCAAGCTGCCCACCAAACTCCAGAAGATGACGGGGAGAGACGGATTGCCGAAAAAGTTGCTACGGATGAGTTCCACGACTTCGGAAATGACGTACAGTTTCGGAGACCTCCCGATGAAGCTGCAGAGGATCAGTTCGGTCCCGGGGGTGTCCGACGATAAACAGGGCGCCAAGGCTTCCAAAATCACAGAGCCCATGAGCAAGTCGGTGGCGGACTTGCCCCCGAAACTGCAACGACTTGCGGGGGGCCCTGGCGGCAGGATGGACGGACATTTACCGCCCAAACTTAGAAAGATGAACTCCGATCGCTTTACATAATTATGCCAATACCCTTTCCTACGACCTCTCAAAAAGTCCTTCCTTATTTATTAACGAACTATATTCTTATATCTAAAGACGTGTATAGATTATGTGCACAAGTACCTTATATGATTGACGGGATGGAGCACACTCCCTGGATGTTAAGTGCTACGAACTTTTTTTCTATAGGACGATGTACAATTAGCACAATCTGGCATGTATACGAAACAGCGCATGTAGAGCAGAATTTTTAATTTTCTTTCCGGCATGACATTTATCAATATTTTTATTTCAAGACGAAACTCAAACTGGTTTCTGACAGCGGAAGAATTGCACAAAGCCATATGATTTACAAATGCGGACAGATCAACTTTACACGGTTGCGGTTTTTGACGGCGAAATCGGCACATACATTTTCGTTTTTTTGAGTTGATCGCTTTCGTTGTTAATGTAAAAGTTGTGGCTATGTTCTGTTGACTGCATGCTCCTCTTCTTGACTTAGCTTATACAAGAGGTAATAGACAAAGATGTTTTTAGCCTTAACTATATTACCTTCTTTCCATTCTCATTTATTCACAGCTGTAGTTTTTTGTTTTGTTTTGTTTTTTTTCTTACTTTCTCCTTCGGTATTCCATATATTGACTAATTTACCATGTTCAAATGTATGAGTTCCAAATGATATTATAGAGATTTTTCCAGATTAGACAAGAAAAGATTAGCGGTGCTGGATGACCTGACAGTATAGGCACGATGTTACGCAATTAACCACTTGCTTATTAGTAACACTTCAGTTGAACAGTTCAATACTCGTACTTGAGAAGCACAAAGCAGTCATTACATAACATCCAGAGATATTAGCGAGGGCTTTCATGGCTATCTGATCATAAATTAAGTGCTTCGGGCGCTAGCTTTGTACTGCGCCATCATTTTTTTTATTCTTTCCTTCTTTCTTTTTTCCATAACCTCATAAACCCTTTTCTGAAGAATTCAATTTTAATGACACCCCCATTTCAACTTAGGTGTTACTGGTTAGGATTCAAAGCAGGCCCTACAGAGGAAGCAGAGCCTTTTGTCTTCTAAGGGCCTATAAACTCACTCCTTTGTGATGAAAGCAATAATATTATAATGACTCCAATCTTTCTATAGCCACAGGGTCTAGCTTAGCCCCTCTGTTCGGTTTTCTGGATCCATGCCATGAAAGCTGGTCAAGCGAATCGAAGATATTGTACGATACCCAAACTTTTCAGGAATAAAGGATATAAGAGACGTGTTATGCATCTTTGCCTGAATGTACGTGCTTTTGGGTTACGTTGTGCATAGGGACTGTGGACTCCATATTAGACTGCATCGCCTTCAGCGTAATTCTAGTAATTGAACTGTCCATCTAGACTGGCCAGCCTCGCCAAATTGATTTCCAACAAACTGAAGTGAACTAATGCTATGCAAGTCATCTCATACGAAAATGACATCAACTGTCGTACTATAAACCAAACGTGGGGTAAATGTTATGCAATCCATTCTAGACAATTTTCTTTCTTTGCTGTATCTCATGTAATGTGTAGTTTCTAAATCGTGTGCGTCCGTATTGGCTTTAGTTCGGTCATTGTTCATTTGCTCTGCCCTCTGGAACTGGAGCTCGAATTGACAACTTTGCATAGGATGGAAAGAATAAATAAATGTATAAATTTAAAAAAAATTTAAAAAAAGGAGAAGAGGACGGCTGGCCAGGCTAGAATCTTTCATCCACGAAGCGTCAATGTGTTCATTACAAAACTGAAATTGAAACCATCGCCACGCATTGCAGATTTTGTAAGAACATCCTGGACAAGCAAAATAACTTTAATTAAAATCAAACAGAGCAACCAAACTATCCAATTACTACATATGTGAGGGAGTAATAGATAAGGCTTGAATATATGCAAGAAAGATCAAGGCTAACCGTTTTAATAATTCTTGCAGAGCAGATGTCCAGCCCTAGATTCTGGCTCAGTTTCACATGACAAGACTTCACACACTTTCCATATCTCTTCTTATGTCATATTTGATGTCTTTATTTTGAGTTTTCATGCAAATAAATGAATTACTCTGCTACAGTTTGGAAGTTTGAGTATCTTTTTGTTCAACTTGGGAATTTTTCATAGAAGGTGCAACCTGCTCGTCTCCATGAAGATGTTACTGCTTTGCATGAAATATTACCTAGCATGGTCTTAAATACAATACCGGTCAAAAGTTTTAGAACTCCCTAATTTTTCCAGTTATTTATTGCAATTCAAGTCGTGCAAGTCCAATGAAGAGCTTGGAATGGCACAAAGGTAAATACTGAACAGCCAGAGGTTAAAAAAAAAAGATAAAAGATGCAAAACACAAGTCCAAACAGTCCAAACTCTGCCAAAACTACCTCAGGAAAACAAACAAGATGGTAAGCTCGAAAACATATCTCCAGACTTAAACCCCATCGAGCTGGTTTTGGGATGAACTGGACAGAAGAGTGAAAGCCAAGAAACCTACAAGTGTCACACATTTATGGGAACTTCTGAACAGACTTGGGAACAACTTTCTGAAGAATATTTGATTTCTATTGTAAAAAGAAAGAGCAACGAGTGTGTTCAGTTGTTTTATCTGCCAAAGGTGGACACTTTCATGAATTAGAATACGTTTTGGTCAACAGTAAACATTAAAAAACTGGAAAAAAGTGTGGTGTTCTAAAACTTTTGACCAGTAGTGTATATCTATTTTGCATTGTAAATGGTCAGGTGTTTATATTCCTGAAATACACCTTGAGACACATGCATTCTTACTGTGAGTGGGGCCTCTTCTTCCCAAATATGACCTATAACTTGGCCTGATGTTGTGACCTGCTTGTTTCTAAGGAGATAAAGAATGTTTAATGCCGTTCTGTGGAACATGCCGAACAAAGCAATGCTTTTTCCATGGAGACAAGCAGAGCCTCCACCAGCACTTTTAATGAATTATATATGTTCATCCAGTTAATCACTGCTACATTGTGAAGCCCCTTGGATCATCCACCAATCCAGAAGAAGAGTTAACAGCATTCGAAATACAAACATACTAGAAGATAGGAATGGGACAAGACACAATTTTTATGAGACGAGACGTGTTGAGATTCAGTCCACGAGATCGACACGACAAGACGAGATTTTTTACATAATTTCTGTGCCTTTCAGTTCACAATTTTTGCTCCACAATTTTTGCTTTATCTATTTTTACAGTTTTGCTCTCATTGTAGCACTGCTTTTTGGCATCGCAGCTTCTCAAGGGGAGTTACTAAGCAAAGTTAATCCCTCTTTTATCCATGGCAAATGTAAAAATACAAGGAAAAAATCATCTTCCTCATGTGCGCTCAATTGTGGCACGAGATCTTGTTCCATCCTTAGTAGAAGACCAATCGAGCCTTGTATCCATTCACATATTGTTTTCCTCAGTAACAAAAAAAACACCCTCTGAAACAGCTAGTACTCCAACATGTATTCCACCCAACCCTTGGTAATGCATAGGTTCACACACGGAAGACAAAAGCTGTAGCTACGGCAACACGCTGGGATGATGACTGCATTACGCCTCCTATGGCCATTGATAGTGAACATGTGTGGTGGCAGATAACTGGCCCCAATCCCTGTGCGGGCTCCCAGGGGTCCACACATGCAAATGATGCTATCTCTGGAATAGACACATTGACAAACAGAGTGCTATTTTGGTGTGTTTATCTGGCCTTATTGACAGTGCTGTACACCGGGGCCTAACATCCATGTCGTTTGTTACTAAATCCGGAGCGCAAGTGTGTCAGATGAAGCAACCCAAATCGACACAGCTCTAAACACTCTATTCCTCTATGTTATCCATCGGGTTGGATTATATGTTTTTGTAAATGATAATATTGTAACCAGGGTCCATCAAGTCCTGGTTTAGACCTTTCAGTCCTTGTTTTAACCTGGTTTATTTCTAGTTAATCTCTAGGATGCGTTCACACGTGTCCTCATTTGGTCACAGTTTGAGCCCAATTTGCCTCCTAATGTAGATTTGGTTTAGTCCTGTCCTAGTTCTGGTCCAGTCCTTGTCTAGTCCTGGATCAGTTCCTGAGTTAGTCTTAGTTTAGACACAATTATTGTGTTATTAACTATGACTCCCAGTAGATGTATCCATGGGTGATAACTAGAGATGTAACGATATTAAAATTTTTCAATATGGTATTTTCATGATCCCATGGTAGGAAATTTATTGGGATATTTTGTAGACGCGAACAAAATTGTGACAGTGCTACTTTTTCCTTTCAAAATGCCTTGACAAGACTTTTATTCTGTCATAAACAAAGAATTAAGATTTAGATGTGTTAAAAAATTATGACTATCATTACTATTATTTGTACTCCTTTTCATTTATGGAGCGAAGGATCATGGTATATGTAGTTTACTCAGTTTATTTAGCTATTACTGCACCAAAACAATGAATTTAAACAAATAGATTTGTAATTCGATGTATTGTGTCAGCCAACGATATTATTATGAGACTTTTGACGATATGATATCACAGTATTTAAGTTATTGTTACATCCCTAGTGACGTCACAAAAGAGGACCCTGGTCTGTCCCCCATCAATTAAAGGTTCACTGTGCAACTTTACTGGCAGAATCCAACTCCCGTTTGTATATGTGGACATGTTTTTGCTTTTGGCTGGAATGTATGTCAATGAAGTATGCCAATGACGTGATGTATCTCCATGGAGATGTCACCAGGCCAAGTTACAGGTTAGGTCTGTGAAAAGGCGATCACAGGAACAGTAAGAATTAATGTTTTCAAGTTATTTTTTTCAGTTATAAGAATATAAATGTAATGAAGTAAATGTTGGATTGATTTTGTTTTTATTTTTTGCACTAGTGAAGTTAGGTAGTCAGGCAGGTGCCACCTAGTGCCTCCACTCAATTTCATTTCTTTCCAGCGACTAGGTCAGGAATTGGAATACACTAGATGGTTCGCAAAAACCTCGAAAGTGCAAGTGTGGGT